TCTTACAGTTATCTTATTGCTATCATTTAGCCCATATAGGGTTCACAAGATTAATTTTTAAGTACTATTAGCATTTTTCCTAATTACCTCTTAAGTGGTACACCGTGCTAAGTTCAGGTTACTTAGTTTGAGATTTGAAGTTCTCCACAATCATTCCTAATTTACTTTTCTACCTTATCTTCTGTTAACCTTACAATGCATTTAGACAATGTAGTCATTATAGCTTGTGCTTTTCTGCTTCTGAATATTTGTTTTCCTTACTAATCTCTCTCTATGCAAATCCTAGTTTATTCTTTAAGATTCATTTTTAGGTTGGGCATTTTATTTTCCTTTTCTTTCTTTAATATTTTTATTGCACTATAATTAAATTAGTTTTTTCCTCTTTTAAAAGTCTCTATTATGTTGTCTTCTGATATCTTTGTGTTTAATTGTGGCTAAATTGCCATCTCTTTTTATAATCTTTCTTTTACTTGATTCTACCTATTATAAACTCAGTATGTACTGTGCTTATTTTCATATTTTGTGTAGTTTCTAATTAAAAGCTTTGTGCCCAGTAACCAGTCATGATTTAATGGAAAGAACTCAGCCTTGAGAATGAAGGTTCCTAGGATTCCCTTTCAACTCTTCAGTGCTCTTCAAACTTTCTATTTTCATTTTCCATGTATCTTCCTACTAGTGAGACTCAAGTGGAAACATAGATTTGAAAAGTAAAAAATGCCATTTGAACTTTAAACAACTTACTATTTGCTGTGATGGTTATAGTAACAAACTCAGGCATTAATAATGTGGCCTGGGCATTGTTGCCTCATCCTAGCCTTAAAATTTGCTCTAATGTTGACAGGGATACTATACATTTAGATAACCAGTGGTTCTTCAGTGGTAGAAATAATTGCAATATGAGAAATTTGTACCAAACAAAAAAAGGATGAAAACACTTCTAGGTGATATTTAATTTGCAGTCCCATAATCTTTTCCTCTTTTGTTCTTCTGTTTGTTTGTTTTTTTAATTTTTATCATTCTCTATTGATTGTGGGAAGCAGCATCACTTAATGATTAAGAGTATTGACTCTGGTATCACAGTTGTTGGATTCAAAGCCCGGTGTGCCACTTACGGGCTGTGTGAATGTGGGAAAGTTAGCTTTGCTTTCTGTGCCCCAGGTTTCACACATCTAAAGGGGAAATAATAATAGTACCTATTTAAAGGTTGTGAAGATTAAGTATGTGTGGAAAATACATAGAGTAGTCCAAGGTACATAGTGAATGTTATAAAACTATTAACTCTTGTTATTATTGCTGCTGCTGTTACTAATATATATCCTATATTTGACCAAGTTATAATACTTGAAGCACTAATGTGTACTCACCAATGTGTATATACCATTTCCATCATTTTAATGGAACATCTATAAGCTAGATTTGCATATTCTTTTTTTGAGGTTCAGTATCAAACATTTTCCGTTGGTCCTTTTTGTATTTTTTTATGTATCTGCACAAACACATGTATATGAGTATTCCAAACACACCAAGATTTCTGAAATTCAACCTTGTAACTATGGGAGAAGAAACATTTTCCGTGCATCATATTTAATTTTTATAACCACTGCCTGAAATTTGTACTATTATTTTGACTATTTTACCCATAGGAAAGCAGGTAAATAAGTGACAGAGCTGGGATTTAAACCCAATTATGTCTCATTTTGAGAAACCTATTCTTTACCATTATGGTAAATATGCTGCTTCCCTGAAGGCCTAAGACTTTGTTTTCCTTCTTTAGTGTTTGTACATGGTATATTAATGGTATGGTATATTTGTACTTGGTATATTAATAATTGAAAATGATGTCCTGTTTTGTTCATGTTTTCCTAGCTTATGCTTGATACGTGGAATGAGTCAATCTTTTCAAATATAAAGAACAGACTACAGGATAGTGCAATGAAACTGGTACATGCTGAAAGATTAGGAGAAGCTTTTGATTCTCAGCTGGTCATTGGAGTAAGAGAATCTTATGGTATGTTCTGAACTTTTATGATCATAATTTCTCTTTCATGGAAATTTTGGGACAATTACAGAATAGTACTATCAAAGTTATGTTTATTAGCATATAAAGTCACATCTTTTTGTACCAGATGTTTTTCTTAAAGAGCACACAAATTGTATTTATTCTGCTTTAAAGAAATCTATATATATTCATATTCATGTGGTTAATATTTATTTTCTTCGTGTCATTAATTTCTTGGCTGGAAAATCTTTTTAGTGACTTAAATCAGAGAAATATAAATTTGAATTTATAGCTCATGAAAGGTAACTACAGCTCATAAAAAGGTTTTATATTTATGTTTTCAGGAAGTATGTTACTTGCATGTGTACATTCTCTTCTAACTTCTTAGCTGCTGACAAGGATATTCTCATTTGTTTCCTCTAACTTAGAATATTCTTCCTCCCTCTTCATCATCTAACTCATCCTCATCTTCTATTTCCTCATGGAGGCCTTTCCTAATTCCCAGACTTAGTTAAGTCATCTCACTTACTGCTTCATAGTACCTTTGCTTCACTGACCTAATGCTTTTGTTTAATTGTGTTGTCGACACTATCTTTACTGAACACAGAATGCCTGTCATGAAATCACTCTCGATAAGTATTTGTTGAATTAATGAACCTCTGGAGTTATTTTTGACTGGCTTTTTCTACATTGCCCCCATATTTCTTTACTAAGTCTTCAGATTTTCTTTAGCAGTGTCCCTGAAATTTTTTTTTCTTTTTTTCTTTCTTTCTTTCTCTCTTTCTTTCTTTTGT